CCCGCGGCCGGGGACGGCCGGGGGGAGTGGGGGGAGCCGCTGGGGGGGGTCTGGGCCTCCCAGCCTGGCCTGAAGTTTCCTTTCACAGCCACCGACCCTTCCTGGTGTGGTACCACCAGCTCTTCAGCCCTCAGAGCTGCCCCCAGGACAGGGCGCGACTGGCAATGCCCCCTTCGGCCAGCACGGGGCTCTAAGGCGGGGGGTCCTTGAACGCCTTACAGGCCTGCCCCAGAGCACTCGCCCGGCCTTGCTGCACGGTCAGGCCCTTCCTCCGGGCCGCAGGGATCACGGGCCGGAGGCACGTGCTTCCGCGCTGTCTGCCGCCCCGGCTGCTGGCCCCCGGCGAGTCACTGCCTGGCTGGCCCTGGCATTGTTCCGCCAGGAATCGTGTGTTCTCAAAGCACAAGCCCCCCAAGGGCACCCTGCCCTGGTCTCGAGGGCAGCCCATCTTGGGCAGGGTCACCCGGGGGGAGCCTCAGGGATGGGAGGGGCCATGGAGCCCAGCCCTGTGGTTGAGGGGTTCAGCTGCACCCCCAGAAATCAGGAAACCAAGGGAGCCCAGCCTGCGTAGCTCTACCTTGCCAACAAACCCAAGTGCCAGAGAGGGCTGGCACCATCGGCCAAGGCCGGGCTGGGCTTGTCAGGGGCAGGGCCAGGGGCCCGCTGGGTGAGGCCGAATGCCAGCAACCCAGCTGTGCGCAGGGGGCTTCCGAAACAGCACCGCAAGTTTTAATAAAAGGTTCTTTAAAAACCCAATGGAGGCAGCAAGTCTATAACCTCGGAAAGGCCGTGCGGCGGCAGAGCCTTCTCCAGGGCGGGGCGGCCGGCTGCCCCTTGCCCGGCACTGGGCAGGGTCCCAGGAGGTGACCCAGGAGGCAAAGGGACCCATGTTCAGAGGCCGGGCCCTGGGGGAGGGTGTGACGGCGCGTTGGGGGTCCCCCATCTCCTGCACCCCGAAATGGCACAAACAGACTGCACCAGCCGGTGGAACAGAGGAATTTTATTGTCTCTCCAGGATACAGCACAGCACAGATGGAATCTGGTCACAGAGCTGGGCTAGGATGCCTCAGGCCCCCTTGAGATGGGGAGACCGGGCCCCTAAACTCCAGCCCCTTTCCCTAGGCTGTCTCCTCCATGCCCCCAACCAGCAACTAACCAACCCTCTTCCAGCCCTGCCCCCAGCCAGGGCAGCATCCACCTTCCTTTGTTCCTCTCCATGGGGGGTGTCTGGCCATACTGGTTGAGAGTTTTTGGTGGGGCGGGGTCCCCCCGCCAGCCAGTGGGGGTTACCCCAGAGCCAGCCGCATAGAAACCAGCCAGGTACCCCCACTACGTCACAGAGGGAACGCTTCCTGCAAAGGAACTGCCAGTGCCACTGGGTCCGGGCTCCCACCGGGCACGGGGCCTGGCAGCAGGCGACCCTCCAAAGCCCGCCCCATGGGACTGGCTGGCTGGGCACGGCTCAGCCCGGCAGCGACTGCGCTGGCGGCCAAGGGGGCCAGGGCCTGGGCCATATTAGGCCCCACCCAGCCAGCAACCTGGGAATTGAACCTGGCGCCCTGGGCTCATAGAGCCACTGGGGATGTGAGCAGGTGTCTGGTCGCTGGGCTCCTCCAGCCCATCCCCATCCCCGCCGGAGCAGCCCCTGCCTGCGGGGAGTGGCGGGGGGGGGG